GGTAAATGGCTCTGTTTGGTAGGTGCTGTCAACGCTAAACTAGCTGGACAGGGGCTGGCCTGGTGCCACCTTTGCCTCCTGAACAGGGTCCCCTTGGGCTTGGGGAGCACGTGGGCCTTGACTGAATCCCTGAGTAGGTTAAGGGTAGTCCTGGGGGGAGAAGAGGAGAATGTGGACGAGAGCTGAGGCCGTTTCCTACCCCAGTATACAGCCATCATGGGACAGGCAGGTGCTGGAGCAGGCCGAGGACCCCTATCTGGGGTAGCATCCTTTGGTGGATGGGGTGGCAGCCTGGAGCCAGAGCCATGTTGGCCAGGATGGAACTTTTATTTATTTTTATTTTTTATTCATTTATTGTTTTTTGAGACAGAGTCTCACCCTGTCGCCCAGGCTGGAGTGCAGTGGCACAGACTTGGCTCACTGCAAGCTCTGCCTCCTGGGTTCACGCCATTCTTCTGCCTCAGCCTCTCGAGTAGCTGGGACTACAGGTGCCCGCCATCACGCTCGGCTAATTTGTTTGTTTGTTTGTTTGTTTTAGTAGAGATGGGGTTTCACTGTGTTCACCAGGATGGTCTCAATCTCCTGACCTCAAGATCCGCCCGCCTCGGCCTCCCAAAGTGCTGGGATTATAGGCGTGAGCCACCATGCCCGGCCAGGATGGAGTAAAGTGCGAATGAAACGTGCTGTTGTAACACTTTTTCAGTGTACAGTTCAGTGGCCTGAAGTGTATGTGCATCGTTGTACAGCCTTCACCACCACCTGTGCAGGGGTGGCTTTGAAAAGGCAGAGTGCGGCCGGGCGTGGTAGCTCATGTCTGCAATCCCAGCACTTTCGGAGGCCGAGCCAGGCGGATCACGAGGTTAAGAGATTGAGACTGTCCTGGCCAACATGGTGAAACCCCATCTCTACTAAAACTATAAAAATGAGCCAGACGTGGTTGGCAGGCACCTGTAATCCCTGCTACTCAGGAGGCTGAGGCAGGAGATCCACCTGAACCCGGGAGCTGGAAGTTGCAGTGAGCCAGGATTGCACAGCTGCACCCCAGCCTGGGTGACAGAGCAAGACTCCGTCTCAAAAAAAAGAAAAAAAGGCAGAGTGCAAATTACCCTGGACTTGAGTGGACCGGTGAGTCTCCCCAACAGTGTGGAGGGCCCACAGCTGCTCCCCTAGATCTGCCCCTCTGGGTGGGTTCTGTACCCAGTGGGCTGAGCCCTTGAGCCAAGGCCAGCTCCCTCCAACCTCCACATCTCCAGGGAGGATGGAGTCTGGCTCTTCCAACTTCAGTGATGCTCCCGATGTAATCCCAGGCCCAAGAGGGTGTCCACACCTAGTTACAGGAGTCTGAGAGCCTGATGCTTCCCCAGGGCCCCTGAGCCTCCTGGGCTCCAAGTGCTTGCTCCTGTGTGCAAGGGTGCAGCAGCTGCGGGTCCTGTGCTCTGGGAGCACACAGGATGATTGAGGTCAGACTGACTCGAGCTATCCCTAGGACAGAGAAACTAGAACGTAGACCCAACCTCGTGGTTCCCAGCAGAGGGGGACTCATGGGTGGGCTAGGGGACAGGTTTTCTTTTTTTTTTTTTTTTT